AGACGCGCCCCGTTGCTAACAGCAGCTGGATACAGCAGTAGGGATCCTGTTGCTGGGAGGGAGTTACTTGTGAAGGAGTAGCGAAAAATGTCTAGGTCCAGTGTCTCTCGAAGCGGGGTACCGTTGTGGTTGAGATACTGCTTGATCTTCCTCTTGGTTGATCGCCCTCTATAAAAATGTCATTTAGCGATGTAGCGTTAGGTTTTACGTTTTTCCGCTGCAATTTGGCATTGGTGCTTGTGGCCTTAGGCGCGCCGCGGTGCTGACAGCAACTCGATACAGTAGGGATCCTGTTGGCTGGGAGGGGACTACTTGAAAAGGGGTAGTACAAATGCCTGACAGTTGTAGACGTGTAGGTTTGCAACTTTGTGACTGCTGTGTTGATTGTGTTGACAGTTCAATCAGCAGGATGACCCGTGGGGGCGGAGGGTTTTGATCCGGTGGCCGGGTTTCCCTTCGTTTGTTTTATTTTTGTTTCTTTTTGGAGTTTTCTATGAGTACCCTGAGCGCTTTGGTTTTGAGAGCATTCGTTATGATGTACAGAATCAGGGAGGGTGTTCGTGAGGTGGATTATGCCATCCTTACGAAGGCTACTGCGGTAGTACTCATGTGTGGTTTTGAGCTATGCAGGTGCGCAAGTGCGTGACCGTCCATCGGTCATTTGGATCTTCGGGGTATCTCCGGTAGTAGGATCTTTGGCAAGTTGTCGCGCATTCCTTGCTGTCATGTATTCCGAGTTCCGAATGCGTCTTGCGACTGTTGCTCGCGTGCCTCGGTGTTTGTGATGCACCTGGGTGCCCACTCTCTTCCGTTGCTTGTGTCTACGAGGACGACCAATAAAACGACTTTACCATCTCTTCACATTGTCAAAACGGGACAGCCGTGCTCATCCAGCAGCACTCGGCTTGGGGCCAATCAACAACTAGTGTGAGTAATGTCGCCCGTTCACTGCAAAACCTTTGCCACGACCACCATGCGTTGAACAAGCAGCAGGAAGGAGGGTAGATCTACATACAGTTGATGGGTTGAAGAGTCAGGCATCATAGTGGTTTGCCTTCCTTGGAGCTCGATCTTCGAGGGCGAAATTGGGGTTTGAATCAACTTGTAAAGCTTCTACTAAACTTGCAGATGGGTTAACGATTGTGCCAATGGATTTGGTGTACATCTCCTATTATTTATGCCCTGCGTGAAATCCTGGGGGGATCACCAAATCCATCTTGTAGGGCCCTTTTCCCCTAGAATTCCGGTACCTGCGGTTCACGGGGAAGATTCCTCAACGGCGACCGGCATGTGGCACTCGCTTAATGCCTTCAACATGGCGAACCATCCTGTTATGCAGGAATGAACGTTGATGCCCCGGTTTCCGTGCGAGGAGTGGTCTGCGTGTGTGTGGTATGTGGCGTGTGTGTATGTGCTGGAAGAAGCACGGTGTGAAAATAAAGGTCAAGAATTGGGTGAAGCATTGCCCCGCCCGGCCCCATTGGGCGGCGGGGGGAGGATACTCATAGTCGTGCATGCCGTAGTCGTTCGACCATTGACCTCGCATCCTTACAAAGCCGGGACGGAGCACGCCGGGTTCGCACCGGACCTCCTGCAAAGGGCGTTCGGCATCTTGTGCTTACTTCCTTGCGCAAGGATAACAGCTGCGAATAACTTTAAATATTTTCTGGTGGTTTCACTTCCAGAGACAGTTATAAGCACTGTGTAACTGCTTCGAGGGTGCTTGACCGTGGTGCGATTGTTCCCTTTGCGCGGAGTGAGGGTTCTCAACCCCGCACAACATAATCAACTCGACCAAAATTATGGTTACCGCCCCCCCCCAAAAAGCATAGGAAAAACGGCGGTAACCTGTCTGCCGAATTCTTCAAATGATCGGATTGTTTTGCTACATCACTGCCAAGACGACAAAAAACCTACCCCTACGGCATGCCTTGGGGGGGGGGGTTGGGGAGGGGGGGGGGGGGGCTCTTATTCCACACGCTCGAGCGTACGACCCTGTCTACGGTCGCCTGACACAGCTTGGAGCTTTCACCGTGTCGTATCCTGATGTCACTATCCAGAACATTACTGATCAAAACTTTGAGATGACCAAGAAGTTTGGCACGTATGTTCTTCTCCAGGAAGTTCATTACAAGGTCCGTGCCGTCACAGTTGCCAGGCTTGAGCTTCTATTTGACATCTCAAGTCGTATTGTATGGAACAGACTTCAAGTTGGAGACACGACGCACACGACGGATTACAGCTACGATCTGAACGGACAGCTTGTAGAGGTGAAGACAGATTCCCAGATTGCATGGCAGTACACCTATGACAGCAATGGAAACCTTGCCTCCTTCACTCACAGACAGAACACCACAAACCTGTTCTACGATGACTTTGACCGTATCACGCGCATCGGGCAGATAGAGTATGTCCATGATGAAGATGGCTTCCTTCTGCAGAGGGGTGGCGAACGTTTCACCTACGACTCTCGCGGTCAGCTCGTACATGCCTTCCA